CTGAGAAAAACAGACGGAACAGACCGAGTCCTTTCCGTGAATTTGCCCACAGAGGAGTTAAAGCTTCTGCTCGGCTCAGGACGTTACAGGATTGTTTTTTTTAAACGCGCACAAAGAGATCTTTGTCATGAACACATCTGAACAGGAGCTGATCAACAAACAGCTTCATCGATTACGCTTTAGTTAGCAGAATTCTAAGAGACATATGAACTTCTGCTCATGAACAAGGCTCTGCAGTAGTTTGAAAAAGAAAATGTGACGGCTCATTTACAGGTGCTCCCGCTCTGGAACAACTAGATGGCTCAGACTGTAAATCATAAAAACAGCATATAAAAAGTTCAATTTAAGCGTGACTGTGTGTATCGGGAAACAGTCCCGTGGCGGACGTGGTGCAGCATTCACAATAAGAGTTACACATTCATTGAAAAGTCTTCCACCGATTATGACAAATGAGAAGCTTCGACGTACAACAATGCAAAAGGTTTCCAGAATGCGTCGATCTCCTGCACTCTGTGATATCTAAATATTGTTTAAGGTGCATGAAGGTGAGCAAGGTCCTTAGAACAGCTTTTCCCTTATCACTCAGATTCATATTGCTTCCTTTTTCAAAGGCAATTAACGTGGTCCAAAAGCTTTTTCCTCCCTCAACCATTTCAGGAATAGTCAGACAAAAAAACAAAACATAAGAACAGAATTACAGCTGTTATTCTGAGGTCTGTGTGATTCCCCAGGAAAGATATCTGAAGTGCACAAATTCATTTCGAGGAACCTTAAATCCATTCTTTAGACAAACCACAAGTGGACGTCAAAGTGCCGGTGACTTCACTACAGTAGCAGGTGCAATCATCAGACAGTTTACATTTTCATCCAGTGCTTCAGTCCTGGTCACTTAATCAAAGTCAAACACAAGAAAACTGGTTCAGACAAAAACAGCAAGGAGTGACTCGCATAAGATGTTAATGGCCACAAGTCTGCTCAGCAGTATTGGTGTTTATCACCCACTGTGAGGAAGTGCACAATGTTAGGTGTCCTTTTCTTCCACAGTGGTTGGAAACAGTCTCCTCGGGTTAAGATGAGACACACACACAGAAGAGAAGATGAAGTCCCAGGATGGAGGCAGTGTCTTCAGTCTTGTATTTGTGACCCTAGTAGGCACATATAATCCAGGCTTCCGAGTTTCCCGGGTTGAATGGGGTTCAGGGGCAGCAGAGGTTGTCTATGACCAGCGTTACATCGAAACCATAAACCTCCAGCAGGTCGGCAAGGAAGGCTCGATCTCCCTGGGGATCCAGCCCCATGGCCCTCACGTGCTCACCGGTGAGAGTGGGGTCGGCGCTTCCTGCTACCTCTGACAGGGTCTGGAAGATGCGGTTATTAAGCTCCATAAAGAACCTAAGATGAGATTAAAGGCAACTGCATTAATACGTGGGCCACACTGCACTTGTCTGAGTATGACTCAAGTCCATTATCAACCATGCAACCAGCTGTCAAGGACTCACAGGATGAAAAGATCCTCTTCATTTGATGTGCAGTCTTCACCCACCTCCTGAGAGTACAGCAGCAGTTGCCTTTGAAAAGAAAAAGTCAGTCACTGTAAAATCTAAAAATAACAAACGCTCATTTTGCAGCGTATTTCTATGACCACAAAACAAATGCATTTTGCAAATTTAAACAAAAAGAAAGAGGAGCGACACAATTTTAACGCACCTCTGCTCAGTCAGCTTCCTGTATTTCTCCTTGTCTGAGGCGGTCAGCCTGAGCAGCTGCTGCAAATGGCTCCTGTGAGTTTTCACATTCTGGTTATCGATATAGACGTCATACAGCTCCTTTTTCTCCTCAAAGATCTTCTCCGTGGTGCCTTCAAACATATCACGTGGGAAAACATGTCTATATAAAAGAACTCATCACTTTATGTTGTAAATGAAACATTTACAGTTAAACTTCACTCACAGGCCACATATGACAGCTCTGTTTCCAGGGCAGAGATGTCGGCTATGTTGATGTAGAAGAAAGGCCGTAATTCAGGCACAGAAACTCCAATGCCGGGTAATGAAACGTTGGCCAGGCAGCAACAGCAATACACTGAGGGAATATGAAAATACTGAATGAAAACCCTCCAAAAAGAGGAAAAAACACCACACATGCTTCTCTGTTTGACTATTCGTTACATCTTGATCCCTTTGCATCACATTATTGTGAAAACAGAATGTGCATACGCAGTAAATCACATATTACTAGAGCTATAGAGAAATGTGCACAAGCTATGATTAAGCAACTCACCCCTGTAGCAGACAACTCCTACAGGTGGAGGCGAGAAGATGAGTATGCGCTTCCGAAGCAGCGCGAACTTCCACAGCACCATTATTTGCTCCCCGAAAAACTGGATGAACTGGGACATGCAGCCAGCCGGGTGGGTGATCTACAGGGTGCAAGTAGTGGCAAATGTGGTCATTTTTGGGGTTACGTTCGATGTTTCAGAGCATTCAAGACAAGGGAGCATCAGTAACCAAAGTGTGTGCTTTCAGACCTTCATTTCAGGGTGCATGCAGCGGCTTATATTAGTAACACTCCAGGTCGGGCAGGCGGTGACTAGTCCGTTTCCTGTAGGGGGAAGAATGGCCTTCTTATCCTCATAGAAGGCCTCTAGTGGAGAATACTGGCCAGGACACTGCAACTGGTGTCTTCAAGGGGATGACAAGGGGGAAAAAGAAGGAATGTGAGCAGATTAAGCTTGAACTCACTTCTTTCTGCACATTCCCACCGGTGCTCACAGCTCATGTTACTGCGTGGACTTTAAATTTAGCCAGTGTTTGGTCCTCCTAACGCAAGAGCACAGATTGTGCAAAGCAGAAGTTATCCATAAATTGCACAGTGAGATCATCTGAGGCCAGCTGTATGAAATAAATTTAACTTTTCTATTTGATTTAACCACTTAAGCCATACAGATCACACACTTTAGGCTTGCTACTGCAAAGTGTCACACATAAAATGTAGCCAAGAGTTCCACACTCCCTTCAAGTTACAGCAGATCTGCTTTAACTGTAACCCAAACCTGTGGTTGTGTCACATACTGTCAGGATTTTATCACAAGGAGAGCAGTGTTTCAGAAGAGAGGAGGAGAGATGCTGTTAACAGTATTTTCTTCACTCCTGTGCTAAGACTTCATAGAAAAACTGCATGTCAGTGGGTTCTTGTGACAAAAGCTGCAACTGGGATCCTGAGTTCATGTTTAAGAAATGAGCCTATATTAAAGGCAGGCATATAAAAAGGAACCTGTGGGCAGGGTATGAAGAGGAAGGAAGAAAACAGCAACTCTACATGTCTGACCTGACTTGGTTCTCCAGGAAGTGCATGTAACGGTAGAGCAGAGTGTAGGACGGAGACAGAATTCCCACAGACTTCATTCTCGCTCCTCGTTCCAGCTCACTCTCCACGGGCATGTTCGCAAAACATGCCAGACCGAAGTAGCCACCCTTACGGAAATATCTGTCCAGTGGGCATAACGGAGAGCAGGAGACCGTCAGACTGACAGATTTCTGAGCCTCATTGAGCTGAAAATCTGACATGTGGAAGTACGTACATGAAGTCGCTGGTGATCCGATGAGAACCGCTGGCCATTGACTTGAATTCAACACCATCCAAGTTGATGTCATGAGGCAGGCACCACTCTATCATATTCCCTGCCATTCACAAATACACACACACAATAACCCATGAAGTCACTTCCTACACTGTCTACTTTCATCCTGGCAACTTCCTCCAATCCTGCATGTTAGTCATGTGTTAGCCAGAGGTCAGGGAGAGCAAGAAAGCAGTGACTCAACTACACACCAACACAACTATGTAAAACGTGAAGAAACTTAGGAATTAGAGAGTTCTGATCAATTCTAAACAAGATCTAAGTGGAAGGATTTCCCCTTTAGACGATTTGGGACTTCAGTAACTTATTTTTGCATGAGCTTTAAAGGATGTTTGACTTTTGTCTCGTGTTGAAAGGTTGCCTCACAATAGTTGAGGTTATTTCTTCGTTGTGGCTTTTATGAAAACCGTTCAGCATAATGCACGGTTGCACAGATAAAGATGTCAAAACGTCACATGATCATCATTTCTGCGGTTACGCAGTCCATGTCTGAGAATTTTAAATGCGAAGGATAAAGAGACCAAAGTCTGCTTGCTCACCTGATCTTGTATCAAAGGTAACCACAAACACGGCCACTATCTGGTCTTTTTCCTCCCACTGATCCTTCACTGAGAGGCCGGGGAAAGGGGCGTTACGGTCTGTACCGAGAGGCTGCGGGCGATCCCAGCCGTGCCCGGACAGCTCGGTTCGGCCCGGGCTTCCGTCCCCTTTGACAACAACAGCAGCTGTCACATTGCGTGTCGGACCGGGGGGGATGATGATGGTGGTGGCGTCGATGGTGGTGCTGCTGCTCCACCCAGTACCAGCCGCAGTGTCTGTCGGCGCACTTTTCTCCGCCGCGGAGTCTTCTTCTCGCGGCGGCTGAGGCGTAGGTTGAGCCGCCTGGTTCGGATCGGGCGGTGGGATCTCCTCCCAGTCCAGGAGCGGGGCTCGGTCCGACTGTTCCACCATGGTGCTGCTGCAGCCTCCGAGGACACGAGAAAGAAGGGGAGAAAATACACAAAGCTCCGACGTGTCGAGCGGGTTAAGCACGGCGTGAGAGACGGATCATGCTTTCCTGCTGCTCGCGGAGTTGTTTTCTATGTATTTGTAAGCGTGTCACATCCACGGACGGGGCTTCTTTTCCTCCTCCTGCCTCACTGTTTTGATGACGTAGCCCGCTTCCGCCCACGTGTCTATATTACTATTTAATACGGTGACCTATTTTTTTTTACATTTCCCCTGTCAAATACACAAACTTTTAAGTTACTTACAACAATGAATATTTGCAACTGTCCTTAATAATGACTGTAAAGCGACTTAATAGCTCATTTAAAAAAATCTTTTAATGGATTTTTATTCTTACTTTCAATGTCAAATGTTAGCTTTTCGTAATATTCCCACACTACCCTAACATTAACGAAATATCACATTTCTTTACTAATGCTTTACGTCAAGGTGTTTCTTCAATTACCACAACTCAACCAATCAGAGAGTTCGATGACTGAAACCGGTGGCGTCATTTATTTAAACAGGAAGTCATGCATATGTGGCGCGAAATTCAAGCGTGTTGGCGTGGATGGTCATTTGTTTGTAAGTATACGTGATAAACACACGTTATTAGGGGTATAAGCAATATGAGAAACATCTTAAAGTTTTTGCTGGCAATAATAAAACAACTGGGCGGGGAACTAATTAATTAGACTTTTAGTGGGCTGCTTAAGTAACCATTTATCCTACACTAGGCCTCTGGCTTTAGAGGTGTGGGGGTGTAACTGTAAACTTGTTACCTCTATGAACAAGCAGGCTTCACATTTTGTGCATAACATCGGTCCAGATTTTAGCACAGCGCTGTTGTGCTCTCAGGTGTAAAAGGATATGGCATTATAAAAGAAGCCATTCCCCAAACTCAGGCCCCAAGCATGGCTACTTTATTTGATGGAATCAGCCAGCAGCTAGATTTTTCTAGCTGTGGAGAAGAGAGCAGCAGCAGCAGCAGCGGTGACAACTCTGATGACAGCACCTCCAGAGTCTACAGTCCCACCTCTGCCTGCAGGACCCCCGGAGCACAACGTCACTTCAGTAGAAGCAACTCTTTATGTTCCCCTCAGCACTGTACCAGCCCCATACCTTACGCCTCCTGGAGGAAGCTGAGACTGTGTGACTCTCCCAGCACACCCAAGGTGGGGAAGAATATAGAGTAAAGATGCTTCTGTTTCCCGTCTGTGTGCTTGAATGATGTTTGTTTTTTCTTTGTCTTTCTCTCTTACTATAGAGTTTGCTATCAAAGGCCTCCCAGCCTTACTCCAGTCTTAAGATAAGTCGTCCACAGCGAACTCTGCGTTTTGCATCAGCTGCCGCAAACCTAATCACAGCACCTCTCGTCAACGTGAATCCTTTCACCCCAGACCCGGTGCGCAGGAACAGCGAGCAACCGTGGAGGAACAGTTGTAGAAGTGACGATGATGATGACTTTGGCCGCAGGTATGCGATTCCACCTTATTACATGCCGGCTGTCACAATAAGAATCTCCAACTGATGACAAAAATGCTTTCAGGATTCAAATTGAACTAGTTTTGGTCTAAACTTAGACGTGTCCTGATACACAGGCCTGACTTTTGTAGTTCTGTATATAAAGGGCTAAATGCCCTTTCTGTATTCCAGGTTTAAACACAGCCTAACGTCATCTGAAGAGGATGATGACGCCTTTCTCCCACCAAAGGTACAAAGCTATTTTTACCAGTACTTGTGTTGAATGTAGCCCTCCCCTTTCAGATGCTTCTGATATGATTTCATCATCGGGCTTTGTCATCTTCAGCTGCCTCCTCACTTTGTGTTTTGTCCAAAAATGACATCCTGCCAGCCCTACTTCCGGAATTTCTACAAGGAATCTCTAGCAGAAAGAAAACTGCTGTCAGAATCCTCACAAAGTGATTTCCTTGTGGACTTATTACCATATTTGGTGAATCATCACAGAAGAAACCCCAGTTCTCCTCTCATGCGGAGTGACGTGTGCTCTTTCTTTAGAAATCTTTCCTTCTTACCATGTCTGTTTAATCTGGCAGAGACGAGCTGTCCAAGCCTTTATGCTGTCACGCTATGAGAGCGAATTCCTGGAGCTAGAGTGCATTGGTGTGGGTGAGTTTGGTGCAGTTTATAAGTGTGTGAAGAGGCTGGATGGTTGCTTGTACGCCATCAAGCGCTCCAGACGACCCCTGGCAGGCTCTGCCAATGAGTGAGTCAGCACCGTTTCTGTTTGGCTAACACACATCAGCCCTCCCTATCGTTTAAACACCTTCACTGATAAGATTTTTTTTTGTTCTTTTATTAGGCAGCTGGCCCTAAAGGAAGTGTATGCACATGCTGTGCTTGGGCACCACCCACATGTTGTCCGATATTACTCAGCATGGGCTGAGGATGATCACATGATTATTCAGAATGAATACTGTGACGGTAGGTTTCAAATCGGCATCTAAAGTAGAATATAAAATGAAGGACGGCGTTGATTTTTGTCTTCCCGTGTGTGTCCCTCAGGTGGAAGTCTTAATGGCGCTATTGTAAAGAGGGAGGCAAAGGGAGAGCTGTTCACAGAGGCAGAGTTGAAAGATCTGCTTCTGCAAGTGTCTGTGGGTCTAAAATACATCCACGGCTCAGGCCTCGTTCACTTGGACATCAAACCGAGTGCGTCTGTTTGACCACTTCTCCCTTTGGACGTTCATTCACTGTGCCTCGTCCCTAACAGTTTTTTCTTTTTAGGTAATATATTCATTTGCCACCGCCCCAGCGCAATTGTGACGGGTGAGAGTGAAGAGGAAGAAGATGGAAACCCTTCAACCAGAATCATTTACAAAATCGGTATTGATGTTGAATAAAGTGCTACCTTTTTGACCGATTTATTTTTGTTACCGTCGGCTGACTTTGAGTTTTCTGCAGGTGATCTGGGTCACGTGACATCAGCCACCAGTCCTCAAGTTGAGGAGGGGGACAGCCGCTTTCTGGCCAGTGAAGTCCTGCATGAGGTAACTGTTCTGAATGCTCATTCGCATTAGAGGAAAACTGGTTAGTTGCACTTTCCTGTTTTGTGGTAATTTCACATTTCAGTTGTCTCACTGCTCCCCAGGATTACAGTCACCTCCCCAAGGCGGACATATTTGCCCTGGGCCTCACGGTGCTGCTGGCTGCCGGGGCTTCTCCTCTGCCGCTAAATGGAGATCAGTGGCACAGTCTTAGAGAGGGGCGTCTCCCCAAGCTGCCACAGGAGCTCTCGTCTCCCTTTAGATGTTTACTTCAGGTAATTCTGTAACCTTGTTGTTTTAAAAATATTTCATTTAATGCTATTTAAACACTCATTCTTAGTTGCCACCTGTCTAAATATCATTTTTACTTGTTATAGCTGGAATAGCTTATCTTTAGCACTTTTTCTCTGTCAGTTGTTGCTGGAACCAGACCCAACAAAGCGGCCATCTGCTAGGGAGCTTTGCAAGCACACAGTCTTGAGGGAGAAGAGGACTGAGAGGCTGGCTGCTCAGCTGCGAAGAGAGTTGACTGTAGAGAGGTTCAGGACCGCCATGCTTGAGAAGTAAGAAGAAAACTGAAAATAATTTAAGCTGCAGTCCCCAGTTCGAAGGTTTCAGACCCAAGTCGCACTTGAAGTATTGCAGTAATTAATGGAGATGATGGGAGACTTTCAGAGTACTTATAAGTCACTTATAATAAATAAATGCATTGTTAAGGAAGTGAAACCCCAAGAGAAGTTATAGGCCCAAGTGTTGCTTCTGAAGCGGTGACAATGCAAAAAAATGCACGAATCGTACCAGCAGGTGGTGCTGTTTCATCTCAGCAATGCTGTAGTAGTCGCCTGTGACAGCCTGTAGTAACCTCTCATTCCTATGTTCATATTTAACAGGCTGGTTTTGGTATCTTAATGACTAATTATAGTTGAAAACACTTTCATTTCCCCTTTCAGAGAACTCCAGGAGGCCCGTCAGGCAGCTTTGTCACCCAAGCAGAACCACCTACAGGGGCACAGACCACCTGTCAAGATGGGCTCCCTCCCCAAACCAGGGAGGAGGCTTGTTGGTAGAAAGACTGCAAGATCCATGAGCTTTGATTGCCCAGGTTATGAAGTCTGAGATGACGTGAAGCCTAATTTTCTGTTTTTTGCTGTGGTGTTTACTGTGACACTCTGCCAAGAAGTTGTGGTAAAGAATGCAGCAGAAGGCAATGTAGCGTGACTCCAGCAGCAACCGTAACAGAGACGATCGCTACATAATCTTATTTTACGTTGTGACTCAGACTTAAAGCATTGGACAGAACTGTTTTAATTATATTCTTGACTCAAACATGTTCCAGGTGATCATTTTAACATCTCATAACAAGTGAAGACCAGTATGCTTAACAAGTCAGGCACTTGGTGGTTGTTGTTGTTTTTTCTTTTAAAACCTGTAAATAAACATTTTAAGCATCTTATCAGCATTTTATTTTGTGTTTTGAGTAGACTGTTTTATTTTGTTTTCCTGTGTCTCTGTGGTGACCTTTTATAATCCAGAAGATGAACAGGGACTTTCCAGTGTAGTGTTGCTCTTATCTATAACTACAGCCAACTGTATTTTGGGCTTGAAAAGCATGAGCCACCATACTGTGAAAGTTATTTGAAAGGCTCTGTTTGTCATAATCTTGAATACCAACTGGAGTATAGGCTTCCCCAAGACAGATCCAATTAAATTTATTTACCTCCCCACACACACACACACACACACACACACTTACTTTTCCTTTTTTTTTCTTTTTTACGAGGCCACATTAGCACTGCCACTGATTCTTAACACAATACTTGCATAACTGCATAAATTCTAATAATAGTATAATATATAAATATCTTCCTGTCACAATTTCTAGAGGCATTAAATGGCAAATATGTTATTTAAATAGTCAAAGTAGGTGGATAAGTCAAATGGGACTTACAATATTCGCTTTCTTAAGCTTGTGAAAACATGTCCAGAAGAAATATAGCTGTGGGACTATTTTAATGTAACATATTCAGTCAAAAATGACCATGATTAAACGTATATGCGTTTTTGACGCCTTCCGGGTAGTTTGGAGTCAACACCGTGTATGCCAGTCAAAAGATACATAAGCAGGCAAAATTCAGACGGTATTTAAAGGCGTCATGACGCAGTAGCAGAAACTGTTTCAAAGACTGAAGCTAGTCGGCAGTCTGCCGCATACATAAGTTTTCACTTCACGCAAATAAGTTAATGTAGGTGACGTAAAAGCGTGTAAGCGAAACGAATCGATATTTGATGTCATTTTGGTGTTAGGTATACTTTAGCTGCCTGTTATACTTTTAGTTTGTTCGACGTTAAACAACTTTGACGAGCCGAGCCCAAGGTAAGCTAACGTTAGCATTAGCTTAAACTATTTTTTTCTTTATCCACTTGAAATCCAGTTATTAAAATACAAAATTCCTAAACTTCCTCTGTTTTGACTGACATCGCTTAAATATCGGTTGGGAACTGACTTTTCCCTCTCTCTCGGCGACTGTCAGAAACAAATTTCGATGTAATGTTAAAGTGTCCGGTTGTGGCATCTTCACTGCTATTATATTATTTAATATCGTTGTTTTTATCTAAGGGCTCAGGCTGGTTGTAGATGGACCTCTCGACTACTCGGGTTACGGCGAGTGAGCTCATTTTCGCCTTCCTTCAAGAGGGCCATGAAAGCGCAAGCTACATGAAGGAGCTTCACTCGCTAGGCGAACAGTACAAGTTTTCTTGGGACATCAACAGCAACGGGCACGACGCACGTAACCTGGATAATGGAGAGATTGAAACTGATGGTTATCATCCAAGCAACATCGGAGTCTCTATGCAGGATCTTCACCCCATAGTGGATCTACAGATCCGGGGTAAGTAAAGTAAAACGATGTAAACTGTACTGTCTACAGTCAAGTTTGGTGCCACAGTCATCAGCTGTTTATTTATTTTTAATCAACAATGAGCTGTGTGTGGCAGTTTTTGCGACAGTGTAATAAAATAAATGTTTTATAAACATGTCTTGAGTTAAGAGACCTGATCAAATATATAGTTTGACCCAGATGTTTGCAAATAGTGCCATATTTTCTAAAAGTTATGCCACTAAATCACAATTGACTGAGTTGTTTCCAGTTAATAACAAAACAACTGAAAGTGAAACCAGGAAATGACCCTGACTCTGTTGTTTATGCTACAGAGCTGAAGTTAATTAGCAGTAGTCCAGAATGTTAAAATTGTCTTAATGGAAACTATAGAAACACGACTTCAGCCATAAATGTTAAACTTTACTCTGACTAATGCAATTGTATTTTTTTTGCTGCAGGAAATCATGAACAGGCTGCAGCTGTTCTTGAGGTTGCACGAGCATTGGGAGAAATCGCTGCTCAGTTTGAAGACAGAATTGTTACTGAAGCTACCAGGAACCTGAGCAACAACATATCAACCTCCCCTCTTCAAGTGAGTATGGGTTCAGCTAGAGGACTACTTAGTGCACAAACTAGGTGTAAACGAGGGTTAGTTTTAAATATGCCAGTGAAAAACTAATATGTGGATATATTGAGATTACCCTAGTGATGCCACACCAGGTTGTTTTTATTTTGAGCCCAAGTGTATGGACTGATCTATTTGTTTCTGCTTTCCAGAAATGGAAGGATTACCTTGCCTTTGAGGTAGAGAGGGTGATGATGCGTTGGGTAGGTCCTGACCTACCCCGGGAGAGAGTCATCATAGCCCTTGCACTTACACTGGTGAAGAGGGTGTGTGTGCAGACCCCACAGAGGTTGAGAAACCTTTTCCACACCGCCCTGCAGTACATCAACACTGCATGGGCTCTGTGACCGAAGAAAAGCTGTCTCTAAGGAAATGACAGTTACATCTGAAACTGCAGTTTGCGTCTCATGATTAGCCAACTGTGAAAGGAGTTTGTTGATGTGCCAGTGCCGAACACTTCTGAAGATCAAAATGAAAGCGTTAAACATGACACTTGAATTTCATTATTCCTTTTGTTTACTATTGCTTAAGTGTTATTTGTCTTTATTACTTAAAATGTTTACTTTATGTTGCTTATAAGTAGCATGATTAAAGTTTTTTCCTTCAGTTTAATTTCATTGTATATACACAAAAACAATAAATCACAGCTGAAGTAGTTTAATCTCTTTATTGTTTTTTGCTTCAAACAATGTTCTGTAGGAAACTCGAGGTACAAAATGCCATGTTGGGTATTGTGTTTGACATCCATCCTGCTCTGGACTTGTAAAGTTTCCCTTTGAAAGTAAATGTAGTTTAAGTTGATGAGTGTAACATTTGCAGTACTGAAGGTGACATGAACATTCATACAAATTCCTATAATATCTTTAAACTCAAATGATTTTGCGTGATAGCAGCAGTGAGGGTGTGTTAAGGACCAGGCTAACAGATTACATGAGTTCCTCATAAATTTCCCAGCTGTTTTCCCTCTGAGGGAATCAAAGGGAGATTCCACACTATTTGTTTCCACTTCCTGTTCAGTATATTATTTTGGTTTCTTGTGCTCTGCTGGTTTACTAGAATGTTCAGTGATTTCTTTAATGTAGTGTGAACGCAAAATCCAAAATTACAGCTACGTAAGAGGTTGAGTTTATTGTTTGTTCTGAAGACTTTCCTACAAATCATATTTGAAATGGTTCCAAGTGGTTTTGATTGTCTTTTGGCAACCTGATTTTGCTTTCAATAACTCTCAGCATGCTACTGCTTTTCTTTCTACTTGGGGAGGGAAGTATTATGTTGTCACTGGGGCAGACACTTACAAATGAACCTTTGTGGAACTAGTCGGGTATTATGAGCAGTGCCACAATAAGGGAAAAGGGGACAAGGCAAAGTACAGAGGACCAAATAAAGATGCTGGGGCGCAAAAGCACGACAGCAAAGTAACTGAAATGAGGGTGAGAGTAACTGGAGTAACTATAGCTCACTTTACACTGAAAGTAATCGGTGGTTCTTGTTTGGCTAATGCAACCAAATATAGTAGATTTAAAAAAAAAAAAAATCATAACATCTGGTTTCTGAAACAATATGCATCAAGATTTTTTTAAATGTTTTAAAACCACAATATATTTAAATTTATGTACTGATATCACAAATTTATTGTGCAATATGGACACGTTAGATTCATTTTTGGTTTCAATCGAAAATATCAAAAATACCATTCACTTCTATAGAAGTCTGTTTATGAAAGTATCAGATTTACTCACAGGGAGAAAAATATAAATAACCCTTTGTTGCGTAGGAGGCGGAAGAGCAAGAAACCCATATGTCGCACAACATCACAACTTATACTTGAGGTTTATGTTTCCTGTGAGAGCACTGTCAATTTTCAATCCAGCGTCGCTGGCTCCAATGAAAGAAACAATGCAAATAGCAAACCAAGAGACACGACAGAAGCTGAATCTAAGCGAAGAGGGATAAAAGTTCACACACGCTTTTGTACTCAGTAAGAAGTACAAAAGATTGGAGGCAAAAAGAAATTGGAAACAAAATTGCAACTGACCCCCAAAAGAAAAACAGAGAAAATAAGAAGTAGAGTGGAGTGCACCGTTTTCACATTTCTGTGTTTGCACCTGGTTGAAAGAAGCAGCGAGGGACTCCCAGCACTAAGGTTGTGGATGACAAGACATTCTGGTTTGCTGGGGGACACTTTCACACATTTTATACCCGGAAGATTTTTAAAAACTACTTTTAAGGAGAGTCTCACCGTATGTATGCAAATACCTTTATTCTACCTTAGCATTCTACACTCCCCGCTGCTGAGGATAACACTTTTTTTACGCTATTTCCTCTGAAAGCGTATGAGAACAAAGGCTATAACAGCTGCAAGGACTGCCAGAGCAGCCCCTCCATAAAGCAACACTGGGAGCTCTGATTCTGGCTCCGGCTGCACTGGGGCCTCCTCAGCTGGTGCTTTGACAGGGGCCTCCACAGCCTCTGGAACTGGAGGTGCAGCGACCGTATCGTCTAGCTCTGCCACAGTCTCTGGTTCTGGCTGCGATTCCTTTGGCTGGTGAAACACAGTGATGGACTCTGGGTTCAGCTCTGGTTCGGACGCTAGTTCTAATGTGTAATCAGGCTCTGCTGGTGTTGTCGGGATTTCCTTGGCTGGAGATGGGACTGCCATTTCAGCAGGCACTGGATCGGTCACTGGGGCAGTGACAGCAGCTGGTTCTGGCTCAGGCTCTGGTTCCACTGCAGCAACAAACAAAGGTACTGCAGGTTCAGCTTCAGTGGGAAGGGCTTCAGCAGGTTCAGAGGCAGAGGGAAGCAGCTCTGGTTCTGAGGAAATGAATGAAGGTTCTGCAGACAAGCTTGCAGGTGTTTCTATCACAACTGGCTCTTCTAATGAAATCAGGGAAGCTGGAGGTGTGGGGTCTGCCTCAGCTGTCACTGGTGCAGGTGCGGTCTGGACTCTTAATTCCTCCCTGAGCTCAGCCAGCTCACTGTCAGTGCCTAAAACACTCATCATGCTTTCTTCTATCACTCCGCCTTCACTGCCTTCCTCCAACAGCTCGGCTTCCTCGCGCTCCACATGGACGATGTCCGAGTTTGAGGAGTTGTTTTCACTACGCTCCTCGACCAGAGCAACACCCTCGTTGCTGTCCAGGCTCTTGATGTCTTCAGGGTCCATCGCACCAACCTGTGCCCACGACTCGTGGCCAGCCAGAGACACAGGTAAGCTTTCTGTCTGCCAGGAGCTCTGCTCGCTGCTGTTGTCTCCGGTGCACAGCAGTGACGAGGGAGGGCTGATCTGGTCGTGATCCTGGTCTCCTGAGAGGATGTAAATGTCGTTGCTGTCTTCGGCAATAGTCACACCTCGCTCTTCATCCAACACGAGGCGGAATACTTCACCCTGTGGCACACAGAAACAAACATGACACTTACATTCAATTTATTAGTTGAATTTGTTACAATCTCTGTGTTTTGTTAAAGTTTAGTCTCTGGTTGCAACATCAGAGGGAACCTTCTCCCAAGAAAACCAGCTTAAGAAATATGAAATAAAAGAAATAAAACTACAATTTTAGCAACATGTAAAAGTTTCTCAGTAGTCATAAAATTATAACCAAGAATAAGTTATAAGGTTACATAATAGCAATTCAGAATAGGACTGCTATAGGGGGGGGGGCGCTTTTGCAGACTAAATCCACACTTGTTTTATCTTCTACGCCACCTAGTGGTAAACAACAGAGGAAGGAAGCATCTGTAAGCTGAGGTCTTGATATGTAACATGCAAATATAACCATGTGAGTAAGAATAACACAGGGCTGAGTTTGCTGGAAGAAAATCCATTTAAATAAGTTTCAGAAATCAATATATCGAAGCTTAATATGTTAAAGTAAGTTTTATCATGCAAACATTTAGCAAAGAAAAAAAAAATTTTTTTTAATATGAATGCACATCACTGCACTGACCATGCAGTGATGTGACGCTTAACTTACAATTTGTGGTTCAAAATAGGCAACTGACCAAGACAAGCAGTGAAATCAAAGATCACAACAGTCCTGTAGCTCCAAGGCGTCAACTTTGGACTTTGCACATTAACATTTCTCTCTATCACAACAAAAATCACTCCCCATTGGATCTGTTGCAATAATATAAAACAGAACTTGCTACAGAAAATCGTGATTGCTACGGCTCCAACTCCAGTTTATGCAAGAGGAACATATATGCCAATACTATACTTTGTTAGTATTCATAAATGAAATCCAACCTCATGGCAACACAAGAGGGAAATCTAAGGAAATCACTAGAGTCAGTAGGACCGATCCTCTGGGAGTCTTTTGGCAATCCAACCAACACAAGATGAAAAGATTTAGCTTAGAAAGTAATAGGCTGACTAACCAAATGAGCAACATACAAACCACCTTGTTGCACGGCATGCCGAGCAGGTAGATCTTGCAAATGATGCGTGCAAAAAAAAATAAAAAAAAAAAACACATAATGTGAAACAAAAAGTCTGGATGTTGGCTAAAACAATTAGAGATACTAAACTGTGCTTGACTGAGGAAGTTAAGCTTGTATCTGACATGGCCAGGCTTTTCTGCTGTGTTGCATGTCACATAGGTGTGACCTGAGCTGATGAGATTCAAACAGACAGTTCAGGCACGCAGTGTTAGTCAAACAGGGAGGGTGAGTGTTTGTGTGAGCATCAGATAGAGGGGTTCAGACAGCCGCCAGCAGCTTCATCTGAAATAAGCAGAATATGTCAGCATGTTCTTCATGGTGCCCCTGACCACACAGTTGGATCTGATCAACTCACACGTCAACGTCTGAACATGTATTTAAACACGTTTTGTTTTTTTAGAAAACCTACAAGCCGTGAAGGTCATTTTCCTTACAAAGAGACTCAGTGCTGTGCGCGGCAGCTGCATCCTGGGAAGCAGGACAGAGATTAAATCCAACAGCGTTTCATCGTTATCCAACATTTGCTTTCTGCATAAGCTGATTTGAATGTAGAAGAGCAGGAGTGTTTCACAAAATCCTCCCCTCTCAGGACACAGCCTGCACATCAGCTCGACACAGCAGGTTAATGTTGCCGTGTGGTAAAAAAATAAAAAATCCACAGCCAAAGAGACACGGCTATTCTTTAAAATTCTATTTAGTTTATGGTTTGTGTTTTCAGCAATAGCTATGACTGCACTGGAGACCACACCTATGAACTATAGTAATACAAAGACTATTACTGACCAACTATATGACCACATATTTTAAAGTTAGAGTACTAGTAATAAAGCTTGAATATAAAGCTTATAAAGTTTAGGATTAAACTAAGAACCACGATGAAAAACTTGCATACAAACATACCTGAGAAGACATGCAAACTAAACTTTCTTCAATGCTTCAGGTTGTCCCTCAGAAACGCAGAGAGTGGGAAAACTCTAGGCTTTGTTGCTCTGTTCTCAGGCTCAGTTCTCCACCCTTGCCTTAAGACAAACTATATAAAACCACTGCACATTCTTGTTGCAGAGCCAAAGGTGTACAGCCTACCTGTTACTACTCTGCTTTTTAACTGGCTCTCTGCAACCCAAGGTTAAATAACATTGTAATTAAACACTGAAGCAGAAAGCTATCGCTGAGGATAAGAGTAAGAGTAACATAGCCACTGCCCTGGTGACTCATTTCTGCTGATAAATCAACATTAGTTGCACTGGCATGGCCGTCGCATACAGTCAAAATCCTACAAATGCTGCAAATCCAAACATCAGATCTGACAGAGTTGTCACAAAAAGCAAACGCTCCACATCAACAAGTGAATTACTGATATTCAGTTTGGGGATTAGTTAGTGTAACGGTCGCTGGTTAGTATGCACCTTTGGCATTTATATGAGCATTATGTAATCACCGGTCCTGCAAGGGGTCACACAGCTGACCGAGCTGAATAAAACAAAGTGCTGAGAAAGACGAGAAAAACCAGGAGCCAGCTTTAAAAAGGAAAACCTAAAGTTGAAATGTGTGACAACATTTAGCGACGTCAGGGGCCATCGTTCATCTGCTATGTAACACCAGTTCTTTACTGGGGATAAGATTTTAACACAGCACGGTTATTCGTTTATTGTTTTACATTAAAGACTTCTTTAACAGCAACAAAATAAGCAAACAGACACAAATTTCACCACAGGTCCCCACATCCCTATTTTTAAACTAACTTATCCCTCAGAACTGCTGTGGAGGCTTCTTTCGCATCGTTTCAGGCGACGCTTCCCTTTTCAGAGAAGGAATGTTCATCACTATGAACGCATCCTCGCTTTTGGCCAACAACACACTATTTATCAGCTTCTCTTCTGCAACGTCTTTATTACTGACAGAAAAACAGACACATTGCTATTATTTTACATTGTGTAATCCAGTTTTAGCATTTCACATTACCCTGGCTTTCATTAGCACACTTCATCCCCACCCCATAAATAATCCCTACAGATGCAGCATTGTGAAACTGACCACCACATGCAGGGTGCGACATGCTTGACTGTCTGAGATTTGAAAGTGTTTATGGAATCACACGTCTCCACACCACTTCTGGGGAAGCACCTTTTAAAAATAAAAATAAATCTTATTGCAACAGAGTGTCTTGTTGTGTGCAGCTACACAATCTGCAATCAGTAAATATTGGGTTGTGGTAGTGTTGTGGGTAGCTGGGGGAGCAGAAAAAAAATGAATGTCTGTCCTGCTTCATCACTGCCAATCAGCCAGTGTCCTGCTGCTTCAGCAGCTTTTTACAGCAAAGGACAAGCGGGTCAGTCAAGCACCTGGTGATGATGTTTTTAGGGGATTATTAGAGTTATTTTGGGGGCTTCCTCAGCCTGCGCAGACACTCTGTTGGTCCACATTCATGCTGATGCAGTGTCACAGTGATGCACATATTAAAGCCCAGAGCAGGCCAGAGGATGCTTACATAACACGGGAAGCACAGTTACACTGCACAGGGTGTAGCGTGATATGGCCTGACAGGACAAAGACTCGGGCCTTTAAAGCACCTCAGCCTTAAAATATCATCATTGTTTCTAAGCAGGGCAGCTTGTTCCAGTATACAAAACAGAGGACTATATATTTCTTTACTGCCTTTAAAGATATGGTGTTTTGAATATCAAATATGCAGCAATAAAGTAATGTATGTCTTTAATATCTTTTTCTCCGAGTGTAGAGGTGCAATTATCTGTTTGGCACCTTCAAGTTTTCTGCTTCATGTTCCATTATACTCTCAAGGACGGCAATATGAATACTGAACACTCAGTTCTTATGCAGCATTTTTACTTTCAGATGGACAGCAGGACACCAACATCATGCGAGCACAACGACGACAAGCTTCAACATCTCCTCAAGGTCTTTTTGTTTTTATCACCTCACCCATCGTCCCCCCGTGTGCTCCCCTGACTGTCTATTGTCTGACAGCTACTTTTGTCCTTGCCAAATGAAGTGTACGCCACATTAGGGCCATACAAATCCTTTGTGTATTCTGATGTAACTAACAAAGCCATTAATCGAGCAGCCCATACCTAACTTGCATTTCAGTGTCCTAAAGAGAACTGGGCAGACACAACAGAAACTTTTTCCAATATCCTGTAAAGTACAAAAACAACAAAGACCCTTTCTGTTGATTAATATACAACTTTGATAGATGCAATAAAAAAAACTTCATTTACTCTCCTCCTTGTTGTGGAAATTTACATCTCACGGCCTCATATGTCAAATGTTAACAACAGTAAGCAGAGTACTGGTAGGAAGTAAAGACCTTTTTAGCTTCTTAAAATCTGTCACTGCTGCACACAGCCACACATGCACGCATGCAGACAAGCACGCATCACAAGTAAACCATCTTACCTGAGCGTGAAAGTTGTGAAATGTAAGTGTGAACGCACAAAGCCCCAGAGAGTCAAAAAAGACGGTTTGAGATGGAGTGCAGGTAGAAAGCCAGCTGGAGCTGTGCATGCAGACAGCTGTCAAACTAATGGAGATTTCACTTTGCCCTGACTGCGCTCATCCCTCCCTCCTTCGTGCCCTCTCCTTTCCACAGCCTCTTCGTGCACTCCCTCTCTCTTTTCAGTTCATCACTCCATTGCCGATCGTGCCCGAGCCTATCATCCGTTCATCAACTATGACATAACACAGAGCAAGAATGTAGCTTTGTTTGAAGCCAGCGTACTGTGTTCACATAACGCTGTGTGAGACCAGCCAGAGCACGACAATGATGTAATGGCGACCAGAGCAGCAGTTAACATGTCAAGTCACGTGAACGTTCGTCAACGTGGCCTCGTTAATAGCAGAGCACCGCACAGACTCCCTAAGTACAACGGCGAAGGGCTGCATTCTGACAAATACTATCTCTGCAAAAATGTAAACCTAGAAACAAAGTTGCACAAGTTGCTTATCTATGATAATAAGAAGCCATGGAGAGAGTGAGCCTGCAGCCAAGCATCGTGACTTAGATGTGGAAGGACAACTTGCACGGCTAAAGGAGTATTTGCTAGACTTTCATTCATCAACAGCGACAGTTTACATGAACAGGGTTTATATTTAATATGAAAACACTCCACAGAACAGAAGTACTGTCCTATTTTTGCCTGACAATTTTCAGAGTTTATGGTTATTGGCCCAAAGAAACGTAGCAGTAAATACACTGTATACATAACAGTCTGGTTATTTATATAGAAGCAGAGAATTTATAGCCATGGGTATTATGATGCTCATTTTAATCTAGCAAACCAATGCATTTCTTGTAGCTCACTGATGCCCTCATCTGGCTATCAAGAGGTGTGTACATCTTTCTAGGCTGGTGCAATAAAGTTTTCCACTACGCAGCATCTTTTCTTCCTGTTTTATGTACGCATGCTCTGCACAGTCCTAATAATATTTACTCCTTAATAAAACTTAAAAGTCTCAGTAGGCTCTGTCCTTGATTATTCTAAAATTAGTCACCACACCTGCAATCTAAGATACTTTTTAAGTATTTCTAAACTGGGAATATAGTTTTCTTAGTTTTTACTGGGGTAGCTCAGGTGGCAGAGCAGGTCAGCCACTAACCAGAAGGTCGGTGGTTCGATCCCAAATATCTTTGGGCAAGATACTGACCCCATGTTTGCCTACTGGTGGTGGTCAGAGGGCCCGGTGGCGCCAGTGTCCGGCAGCCTCGCCTCTGTCAGTGCGCCCCAGGGCAGCCGTGGCTACAATGTAGCTGCCATCACCAGTGTGTGGATGACTGAATGTAGTGTAAAGCGCTTTGGGGTCCTATACAAATGCAGGCCATCTTAAAATTGTATTAGATTGTTAGATTGGACTTTCAGGTAATTAGACTTATTTATAATGTATTTTCCCCTTTATTTAAAAACTCACCCATCCCCCAAGCTGAGTGATGTAGTCTGCCTCGTTCTCCTCTAGGAAGTGAAGCCCCAGGTCCAACAGAGTCATCACAGACTGGCCTTCACTTTGTAGAGCCTGGAGCAGCACTAACGGAACAAGCACCTGGTGGCAGTGGTGACGAGAGACAGAAAGCAGTTCATTCACAAGGATAAGAGACATAAATCTGACACCTCTCTCTTGTTACTAGGAGAAAATCTAACTGGAAACACTGCACCTTTTGCAAATTATGTCTCTTCTAATCAGTGAAGCAGAACTCACTCACCTTGCTCCAGCCTCCCGGTGTGTGTGTTGAGAGCTCCAGTGTTGTGCATCTGAATCTCTGATAGTCCAGAGGTCTGAAAACACAGACATTACCATTAGTATTAAACACGTGATCTTCATGTTGAGGAGCTTAAAGGTTTTGTACTTTACCTACCACATGTAACTGTTTACCAGGACTACTTTTACTTTAGGTAAATTGATTACAACAACTGAGGAAGTAGCAGCAACACCAGTTATCAACCTAGATCACATTTTAGCACCAAATAACTATTATTATCTTATAGATATTTAATCTTCTTTGCTACAGTTTCATGTCATTATCTTTACATATAACCAGCTCCTGTAAAAACAAGGTGCTAATGCCTCTGCTGTCTGCGTGGGGAGGGGGGCTACACTGATTCATCATTAAAATAGCAGAAGAGTTTTTATTTCCGTTTTCTACTACAGGCAACCTCACAGCGGGAACAACAAGACAAACTATGGCGAACACCAGTTCATATGGCGAACCAAACCTAACACCATAGAGTTTTAGCTGTTATTTAAAACATGAAGCATTACCATCTCAGATTAAAAACTAAATTACAACACTGCACAAAACATGTTATGCCGATGATGTACTCGTATTCCTAAAAACACCCGACGAGTCTCTGCCAGAGGTAATGAACTGTCTTAAAAACATTGGCTCAATAACAGGATATAAACTCAATTTTAAAAAAACTGAAGCCCTTCCCTACAATTATAGTCCTTCTGAAAAGCTCAGACAAGCACATCCACTGAAATGGAACACAGGCTCAATTAAATACCTGGGTGTAAGACTTACTAAAGATACAAAAAGACTATTTGACAGAAATTACAACCATTTATATCAAAGAGGCAAAGAGGACCTTACACAATGGAATCATATCCCATGTCTGAGCATAAGCTCTATAATAGAAACCATCAAAATTTATGTTTTACCGAGATTTTTATATTTGTTTCTGACCCTCCCACTCCAGATTAATCAAATGGATTTTACTGAATGAGTCAAAGCGATCTCTAGATTCATATGGCAGGGAAACGACCCAGAATACGATACAAAACATCACAACTGCCCAAAGAGAACGGTGGCTGGGGACTACCATGTTTTAAAAAAAACACTATACTTCAGCAATGATCAGGGCAGTGTTGCACTGGTGTGATCCCTCATATGTAGCAGCATGGAAAGAAATGGAATGCAAAACAATAACCATATGCATATACAGGCAGTTCTAGCAGATAAAAATCTACAGGACTACATTTCCAAATTAAGAAATCCTTGGGTAAAGGCCACAGTAGGGGTTTGGAAAGTGGTGGTAAAAGAAAAAAAGCTGGAGAAGGATATAAAAATATTAAAATGGTGTGCATATGAGTCGGATATGAGCATATGAGCAAATCAAATAGACCCTAGTTTTAAAAACTGGAGAGATAAAGGAATCACGTCGATATGCGGTATTTTAAAGGAAGATGAAATTATGAGTTTCCAAACTTTAAAGCAAATGTTTCATTTAGAAAACCAAGACCACGATAGATACGTACAGTTAAGAAACGTTTATACTCGAAACATTAAAAAGCAAATACCCACTACAGCGAGGCCATTTACCCAACTCTTTGCAAATGCTTATAAGTCAGAAATGAAGAAAGGTGTAATCTCACAAATATACAAAAGTCTTCATGATCTCAACAATTATTCAACAAAGTATATAAAAGAAAGACGGGAGAAAGAGGGAGGTCAGACAATCACAGAAGAGGAATGGCGATACATTTGTTCTTTTCATTGGAAAAGTAGAACATCACATCTATGGAAGGAGTTCTGCTGGAAAAGCTTTTTCGTGTTTTCAGCTTTAAAGGCGCATTATGATGATGGAAGTTGTGAATGTTGGAGGAAATGAAACAGCACACCACTACCATATGTTTTGTGATTGTAAGAATATTAAGAACTACTGGAGAGAAGTCCATAAAGTGATGCACAACATATTTAGTACATATTTACCCTTTGATTTCAAATCCAGATTTTTAGGATACAAACCCTCAGACATAAGAGAGAAATACTTACTTGGTGTGCTGCTAGCTGCAACTGACCAAAAGGTGTCTGACACAGGATCCACCAACATTAAACAGCTGGACTGATGTAACTTTTGAGATTTATAAGATTAGTGAATTTTGAGTATGAGAAATTTGTAAAACACTGG